TGATGTCACTCAAAAGATTGCTTGTGTTCCAAGCACCAATAAAACGATTAGGTTTACCAGAATCCATTAGCAAACGTGTGAGAAACGTCTTTCCCACCACTGTTATAAGCACCACCAGCTTCACCAACCCAAGCTCCAGCCCATGGACCGAACCGGTCTATAGTGTTGGACATATCTTTATATGTCTGAGCTACTTGGCTCAAGAAAAACGGATCTTGGATCTTATCAATCAGAGTCTTGTCAACACCTGCGCCTAAGTTGTAGATATGATGAGTGAGTCCATCAACAACGTCAGGACCAGAGTGAAGAAGAAACTCGTTGAACCATTTCTCATCGTAGAAACCAGCTGGTCCTAAAACCTTAGGCTGAGTCTTCTCATCTTGGTATAGCTTCTCCACCGCTCTCTTGAGCTTCTTCATGTCTTTTGCGTACTGTTTCACTTCCACTCTCGCTGATACTCCAGAGGAACAAAGCTCGTTTCCGAGTTCGTATGAATCGATCTTGTAACCCTTTTCGATTGAGTATTTCATTAGATCGTATGAGTTTTGTGCGTTCCAATCTCCAATCCAGAGTCCTTCGTCTGTTTTCGACTTCTTCCTCCCGAACAGAGCGTTTAGACCAAACGTGACTTTAGCTCTGTGTAATATAATAACCAAGATTGAGTCCGGTTTAGTATTAACCAGATACGGTTCTGTGTCAGATTTTAGTAATTTGTTGAAAACTTACGTACGTACCCGGTTTGGTTGAAGAGAGAGTGAAGTTGATCCCATCTCTTCATTTGGAGACAACCTTGAGTGAAACCGAACAATCCGTCGTCGTTTCGTTTGAAATCGGAGCATTCTTTAACCGATTTACCAACTTTGTACAGAACTTGGTCTTGTAATGATCCTCCAACTCTTATCCTCATCTCCCCAAATGCTATTTAATTCATTTACAGTCAAAATGTATCATTGATTTAACAAGATGTAACACAACCAAAATTAAAGACTTTACTTACCCTTAATGGCATTTCGAAGTATAGTATTGGACAAATCCTGAAAAACAAAATTCGCAACCATGAAAAGATTATTAAAGAAAAAAAAATCAAAAGATTATTAAGGAAAAAAATCAATGTATATGGATAATGTAACAAGAAATGTATTATAAGACATATACCAAATTGTTGAGACCAGAATTGGCCCAAGGACACTGGCCATAGTCACATTTGTCAGAGGGCCACCAATCGAGAGTGGCACAAATGAAATTATCATCAGTTTTGGCTATGGAAGTCTCAGCTTCAATTTTGACATCAACTCTTGCTCTTCTTCCTTCTTCTCCATTTGAAACCGATGCAAATATTCCACACACCATTATTACCACTAACACTCTACTTTTTGGTTCCATTTTCTTTGAAATCTAGAAAAGAGAGCTAGTGTTGATGAAATGAGTGGGATCAATCGAGTATTTATAAGATGATGTAATTATTGCGGCTATAATAATAATAATA